GGAGCCTATGCGGGTATAGGGATTTTTGGACATCACTTTGTTAAACATTGTCACACTACAATGCTGACATAAGACTCAAGATTTGTGTATGTTTCAGGTTCTTGATTAGTGAATTTTTTATGTTAAAGCCTTGAAGGCCTATTATGAATATAAAAGAAATATCGAGGCCGATGTCGTAACAGTATTTATTTGATTAGTTGAGCCGTGTCAACCCTATCTACTCACATCAGATTGATCGAGCTCAAATCTTGGATTTATTATTTAGACCCTTCATATCTCTTAGACATCACTTTGGTACCCGTTAACATCGCTTCTTCGGAGCCCATGTGGCGTATATGATTGCCACATGCACTTCTTTTTGACTGAGTATATATGTTTCAGGATGTATATGTGAGGGTATTTTTTAAAATACTTTTGACCGTTGATGAGCTGTGCGACAATGATCAAAATTTGAAGTGTGCAGCGCGCTCTATTGTGGAAGCCCGTACACATCATTCTGCCCGTTGTATAAAGTTGCCGGACCGGTGGTCCGGTATGGTCAGTTCTGCCGTTCCATACATATAGACCACCATGCCATTGCCTTGTTTCTTCGTATGTAGGTAGATTATTGCTGCCATGAATAGAATCCCTTGCTAAATCCTCCTTGTGAACGACTTTAGTACTTGCCATAGAGTTTGATGCCTTCTTGTTGCAGGCAAGTTGCTTTGCAGCAAAATTTTTTGCGCTACCCATGTATTCTGTATTTGGATACTGTCCATCTGTTCTTGCTTGCAATGGAATTCGTGTATTTGTCGGCGCATTGCACAAGTGGTCGAGACCCTTTGCACTGCAGTTTTGATATTGCAGTAAAGGCATTTATCTTCATATTTGATCATATGCCCTTCTACTAATTGTACGCAGTCTTTCAATGTCGATAGAAGAACTGTTACACTCATTGCAAGCAGGCATCGTTGGTTTGGAGGAGAATACCACAATATCCCTAATCATTGCCCCTGTTATAATCACTTACAAGCTTCCCCTCTTATTGTAGGTTGGATGTGCATACAATGCCAGATCGCCTACGGGTTGATCTAGGGCTTATATGCCATCATAAGTTGTTACCCCACTCCACAGGTAGTTTATGCTATTGCATTGCCATGTTGATTTGGACACGGGTCTGAACCGTCACCGCTTGGACCCGTGCGGGGCTACAGGCGGAGAGAGGGGACGGACCCGGCTGGGACCAAGGACCCACCACTTAAGTGGGGGTATTTTGCGGGATGGAAGGATCTTTTGGAAAGGGTATGAAGGGAGCCATTAGGGTTTAGTATTTGGCATTATGGAAAGAAGTGTATTCTCTTTCTAGTTTTCCTTCCTCTTAGTCTTTTTTCTTGTGCTTTTCTAGGGTTTCTATGTGGGAGTCTTGTCCTTCTCGAAGTGGACAACACACTTAAGTCTTGCTTTTCTCTTTTGCTTTCTAATGCAAAAGGTTTCTTACTTTTCACTCAACCCTCTTGTTGATTGTTTTCTCATTGTTTTGGTGGGAGAAATTTACTCCTTATTGGAGGGAAATTAGGCAAAACCCTAATTTGTGAAACCCTTAAGGCGTATCAAGTTGTTTATCAGAGCCTCTTGATCCTGAGACGACATGAATCAAAGAAGGTAGGAAGTCTTGGAGAGGGGGATGGGCCAATTGAAACAAGAGGAAGTGGGTGAGGAACTTTCGTCGAGGGAGGGAAACATTTATCATCCCTAGGAGGAGAGGTTTCGGAGGATGGAAGAAACTAATCCATATTTGGAGAAGCCAACAGTTTGTTCAATCAAATGCTAAGATAAACAAGGGAAATCCGGCTTGGTGCCAAACCCTAACCCTAACCCTAATTTTTCAATTAGGGAGAGGGAGTGATCCAAGTGAAGAGGGCAGCAAAAAGGGCATGGTCAAAGGAAGGGGGTGAAGGTCTGGAGTTGGGCGGCCCTTTGGGAATGACGGGAGGCCAAGGGGGCCGGCATACATGGGGCTGGTGGGCACCCACGGCACACGTGAAGGGTGCGAATTTGTAGGGGGTTTCCGGAAGGGGAACCGTGCCACGTGGAGCATGGGGGGACCCACGATGCACATCGGGAGTAGGCAAGGAGGAAGGGAAGCTACGGCATGGGCTATTGGGGGGAGGGAGGGCTTAAAGAGAACCCAGAAGGAGTGTCAAAACCTCACCTTGGGAGATAGGAGGGAAGCACCACAAGGGAGGATTTGCCAAGGCGGCATGGGGAGATGGAAGAGCCTTCAAACCAACTGACTCATGCATGAGAAAATTGAAATTCCTGCCGCGATTCACTGTACCTATCCTTTGACAGTGATGATGATGTTTAATGGGTGGGATTCTATAGGGTGTAGCCCGGATATTTTGCAGTAATGGCGTCACAGATAGAGAGCAGTGATGATTTGGCGATTCCGTTGTCTTGGAGGGGAAGTCATTGCGCCTGGTTTCAATAGCTTGAAGGAGAGACAACATCGTTAGGAGTGGAGGGAGTTCCAAAGACCTCCTACTTCATAGACTATCCGGGTGTCACGAGGGTACACACTATGAGCATTGTAACTTAGTGCAGTGAGGGGCACAGTGGCTGAATATAGGAGCACTTGAACTACTGTCAGGCAGATGAGAGGGATTCCAAATGACCTGTTGGAGGGGAATTTCATCAAGGTTGAAGCCCACATCAGAGCAAAGCCATCAGAGTATGGCTCCCAGGGGTTAGTTGAAGTCATGGAGACTGACAGCTTCGTAGAGGACCAAGTGAAGGTGGAGCCACCGAGGAGAATCAGGGTGTTCTTACCCCATGCTTACCCGACCAAAACCAACTTCATTGGACGCGCCTAAGGGCGACTTACCATCAATTCCATCCCTAGGGAGAATAGCTAAGGAGAAACCCTACTGCAGTGAACCAAGGAGAGGTTTCAAAAAGATTAACTGATTTCAGAGTTTGAAAGAAAAAAGGGCCAGGGCCTTTCGCTAACCGATGGCTGATGAGAAGCTTACACCGGGCCATAGTGTAAGGAGAAGACAACTACATGTGCATTATAGGGGATCAAGAGAAGGAAAGAGTGAACGAGTGATGAGTTAACACCTTCCAGCAACCCGGGACAATATCATGACGGAGAGGACAGCTCCGCGACAAGAGGAACTTAAGAGATCGATTCCTAACGATCTCTGGCTAATGGTGGCGGAAACGTTCTCAACTCAAGCTCCATAGACCGAAATGTTGAACGCCAGCATAACTTCCACCATTGAAACTCGCGCAAGGGCCGACCCAGTATGGCAGCCGGTATAACAAGCAGGTGGATAGGTTCCTGGATTTGAATTAAGTGGGGAAACCACTCATCATATCTCTATGTTGTCAGAATACTTGTGGAGAAGGGTGAGGGACCATAGCTTGGTGACCAAGCGAGAGAGCGTGCTAGGAGTCAGGGGCGAACGGGCGCCGCAAGCCGAGGCAAATGTAGCCGGGCAAAGTGTCAAGGGGTGACCCTCAGGCATCACAATGCAACGGCAGAAGCAGAGACAGCCTGCAAGACTCCCCCTAACTGTATAGATTGAAGCACTGACGTGAATAACTGGGGATGCAGTGGCTCCCAATACCTTGGGTTGAGAATGAAGGTTAAAGTTGTAGAGAAGTTAATACATCAGGAGATGGAACAGGGGACGAGCAGACCACCAGAGGAGTGTCACTATCAGGAGAACCCCAGGCTGGTCCACTGCAAGAAAGAGGGGCCAAGAAGTGCCCTATGCCAAGTGCCAATGCTCAGGAACCTTTGCGAGAAATATGGGGAAGCAGAAGGATTGAGTGTTTAGTCTTTCGATAGAAGACGCGTGACAGCAAATAGAATGAGGAGGCAGAAAGGGAGTCGAAGTCATACCGGAGGTGGTCCAGGATCTTATACAGGAACTCGCCATACAGCCCGCACTCCACCCCAGTGTTCAGGAGCCCATGTACCCAAAGGGCTACCCCTATAGTCACGCCTCTCAGAGACCATTATTGTCGTCTAGAAAGCAGGGGCTAGCAAAACCACATCACGCTGGCGACATCTACAGCCTCATCCATCGATGCTCAAAAACGACGCGGAGGAAATTGAAGGACCTAACCTGTAGCAGCAGACTAGATCTGGAAGCGCCTACAGGTGATTCTCCTAGCCCGGCAAGTGATGAGCCCCATCCCATTTCCAAAGTTCGGACTACCTGTGCGAATCTTAGTCGAGAAGCACAAGGAGTCGGTAGTTAGGAGAATTCTAGTGTAGACCAAGCCAAGCACCAGGAGACACCTCGACAACGGAGAATTGATGTTGGAACAGTTCCCTATTACTGGGTAGATGACTTCTCATAGTGTGAACCCTATGAAGCGGGACGGCCACAACTTCCAGGTGGACTTCGAATCACTGGTGTATACACCGATCGGATGAGGTACGGAGACACTTCCAGGAAGGACGGGCATTTCGGGACTTGCGACGACAAGGTCATTATGAGTTTTTAGTCGATCGCCGATTCAGGCTCAACTAACGGCTCCCCTCAACACCTTGCACAAGACCAACGATAGATAGAGAAATATGCATCATGAAGTCTTGTGCAGCCCCCTAGCTTTTGAGCGAGAGGTTCTGTAATTAGTGTTGATTTTTTGATGAGTTATTATTGGCTATATAAGCAAATCTTCTGTCTAAGCACCATGTCACACCATCTTGGGTGTATCTGACGACACGTAGAGTTAGAAAGCATCAGTAACTATGAGCCACCGACACAGAAAGTGTTCTTTCGCTAGAGAGGAGGTGGGTATCTGGGACCATCATTTCACGACCAGCTCGTTGGCGCCACACCAGTGGGTGGGGCTGACGCCCCCACCCAAGGACAAGTGAAGGGCCATTAAGTTCTTTCTCTGTCCCGCGTCAGCCACGTACCTCACCATTGACACCGTGCGCACTACTGTTTCCTCTCGTGTTTAGTGTACGACTTATCTTCTACTCTACAGGCAGTTTTATTTCAGTCTATGAGTTCAGCAAGCGTTAGTGCCGTATCATCGACGGGGTGCGAGCCAAGCCTAGTACATGTAGAAACAAGACACCAGGGCGAGTTTGCGGGACAGAACCGGCGGGCCTGGAGGACCTGTTGGGCCCGCCGCATGCGACAGACAACCGGGCACACAGGCCGGACCAGAAGAGGCTAGAGATTAACCGGCAGTTTAAATACCCACAAAGGAAAAGTACGTCGGGAGCTAAAGGAAAAGACAAATAGGCGCGGGAGAGAAGCGGACTCGGGATGCAACCAGAGGAAGCGCAAAGGCGAAAAGTGGAGGCGAGAACCCAGGCGGGTCAGTAGGACCCCTATGGTCTGAGCGAGAGGCGAGTCCACACCCTGTGAGCGTCCGACGGTAACGAGCAGTGGAGCCCTGGGCACAAGTCGCGACACCCCTCCTAGACAGACGAGAAGGGGGGCCCATCGGCATGCCACTGTTCACATGCGCCAACGGCGGGAACTAGGGAACCGCAGAGCCGGAACAGCCAAAGGAGGGGAATTCACAAAAAAAGAAAGAAAGGCCCCTGGAAGAAAGGGCGAACAAAAGCCGAAGGGCTATTAAGCCGGGGTGTGAAAACCCACGTCCAAGGCCGACGGAGCAGGTAAGCGGCTGAGTTCGAAGCCAGCGCCTAACAAGGTGGCAGAACAGAGAAGCGAGTGAGCGAAAAAAAATACGAAAGGGGAGAGGGAACTAGACAAGCGAGAGGGGGCGACAGGCAAGGCTAGGGAGGCAGGATGCAGGAGGCCAACAAGGACCGAGGGCATAATCAACAAGCGGCGAACAAGTAAAGGAGTACAGGCCACCGAAGAGAAAACAAAGGGGCCAAACAACGAAGACGCCGGCGGCACCAACAAATAGCATCAAGGGGCAAAACCAGATGACGGACCTGCAGTAGAACCGAAACCGTAAAAACCCCAAAATATGCACCACGGAGGTGGGACAAGTAGGCAAACGAGAAAGCGCTCAAATCGAAAATAAGCACATCAGCGAATAAAGAGGACAATCAAAAGCAACGAGGAGGGAAATGGACCAAGGGGAAGTGGAGGCCAAAAAAAGTAAAGTCTGGAAACCCCCCAAAAGCCAGGGCCGCAACCAACATTGCAGCTCGGTGATTCAACAAGCCAAATGCGACACAGCCAGGCAACCACCAAGCCACACGAGCAGAAGGCGAGCAACAAGATGAAAACGAGATGCAACGATCAGAAAAAGTCCCCCACGCAGGCACCAAGAGTCACAACAGAAGCCACACAACAAAAAAACCCGACCCAACAAACACCCACCGGCAACAACACAACCAAAACAACAACCACAACCCCACGAACACACCAGCCCCTGCCAAACAAACGGGGGGCCCGAAACTCCAACCGCGGCAGTAACAACCATATATCCCCCCAAGCGAAACAGTGAGGAAGCGAACACCCACGCTAACGCCAAACCACTCCCCCAACAGCGAGGGACACACCGTACACCCAGAAGCAACACATCCAACGCCCAAAACCGAAGGAGACCAAAAATAGGAAGCCGTACATTAACGACACAGAATGAAACAAGAAAAGTAGGTAACGCGCAAAGATATCCGTTCGGAGAAGAAGCTACCACCCCCCATGATAACCATGAAAGGAGCGGAAGGACAACCTATCGCTCAACAGGATGAAACCCCCTAGGAAACCATGGAACAGCAACCAGACAAGCCCAACCCAACACACAGTCACGCAAACACATCACTTTTTCTCCACTATAGCAAAACTGCAAGAAACGCACCACCGCAGAACGCAGCCCCCAACCCACAGCAACATCAGGACAAGCCCGCCAAATAACCCAAAGAGCCTTCACGCAACCGAACCATTATGACGCGGACCCAAAATAACAACTAAGACCAGGTCACCAGGACTATAAATTCAATGACAACCTTCGACAAGGGCCTAAGCTTAACGACTTTCCAACAACCCCGGCTGAGCGTTCGAGATATACCCAACGAGACAAACGTCTCACATGGGAGCACGACGATAGGCAGTAGGAGCATGAAGGACTGTCATGAATTCAAAGGTAACACCTCGCGATACATAGCAATAGTGTGACCCACTGTTTTGGCCACTGTCACGACAGATGAATATCCAACCGCAGCTCTGGGTGGTCAGAGACTGGACGCTTCAGGAGGTGGGCGCTTGGCCCGAGCCACGTCTCACTGCAGAATACACATAGGCTCCGATATGCGCCTACTCTCCAGCTGAGAAGTGCCATTACCACTAGAGCAAGTTACCAGTCAGTTTCATGAGACGGGAACTATGGTCCTTGTGTCTGGCTATTTTTCAAAATGCGCGTCCTAATCTATTGCCAGGAACGCATCACTAAGTTCGTACGGAAAATCAGCCAGAATCCAATCAAGTGAAAACTTAAATAGCCAAAGCAGAAGATTGGTGGCCGCCAAAAGAAACATTAGAGTGGCTAAGCAATAAAACCATCTTGGGATATGGAGTATGATTGAGATTTCGAGTATGAAAGCCCGGACGCTTCGCAGAAAGAAACGAAACGCGACGAGCTCATCTCGCACAACATACTCCGCGATGCGTAGGAAGCTGAAACACAGCTAATGGCAACATATAATGCATAGTCCCACAAATTGGAGATTGATTAGGAGCCGTGAACCATGTAAAGCCCGAAAATCAACATGCAGAGAGAGTTAGAGAGACATCCGGAGCGGATTATCCAAAAGGAGAAGGAGGGTCTATTGAAATCAGGACTCACCCTAGAATAAATCTACTACATTATATATAAACAAAAGGCAGGTTACCAAAAAACCAAAAAGATATGAGTTACTACACGTGACTTCACCGCATATCCGTCCAACAACCGATGCACCATATCTTTGATCCTTTCGGGAGTACCACGATAAGACCGTATTGAGTGGACATTACAAGTTGTGCGAGAAAGACCTATCAAGGCGGGGGTGAAAAAGAAGCCAAAAAATATGCTTTTATGACGAAAAGATAAGAAGATATGAGGGTGTCGAAAGACCAATGGATAAGACAGATAATTTGAAATTTGAATCAACGGAACCAAGTTATACTCAAGCTTGTGCAACACCTAGGTTTGCTGCAGCCCTTACGGTGCGTCCAAACAAGATATTGGAGTGAAGTCACCATAAGAGAGAATAATATACATATAAGAAGAGAAGAAGAATATACAAGTCGGAAAGGATATTACGGTCCATCCAGGTAGGTAGTTGACCGTGCACTGAAGCAAGTATAAGCCATGTTTACATGGTTCCTACTACATAGGCATCCTTTTTCAGCTCCTACTGTTAAGCCAGTGCTATGTTCATTCAGATTAAATGACTGTGCCATGTTCGATTTGCATGGATGCTAGGGGCCCCAACAACTTCGTATTGTTCTCGGTAGGACAGAAGTCTTGGGTTGAGCATTCATTGCGGCAACGTTAGATCTTCAAGATGCACGAACGGAGCCACATTGCTTGAAGCGAAGCTCACAAGCATACCACCCACAGACACGGATACCATTGATTCAAGTCTACCGAAGGTTGGCTGACCGGAGCGTGAGATCATTACTTCGATGATGCTTCGTTGGAGGAGGGGAGGCCCTACAAGCAGTTGGGCTCAAATGGGGCGTGACACATTGGGCCAGAATCAATTAGGTACAATCAGCTTGTTCCATACCGCAATCTCAGTTCACACATTTCAAAAGATCTTCTATGGAAGAGATCCACCACACCGTTGGTGGACATTAAGGATCAGAAGGTGACGACCCCCGGTATAAATCTAATGATCAATACTTGGAAGGAGAGGAGATAGAGAGTGTTGGGAGGTATAGAGGCAACCACCATCTGAGGGGTAATAGGCACCCCAACAGACGCATGAGAGACCCAAGGGTGCGGTGCTCCACCGCGGATAGCATATGTGACATTGAGGTTGGACTGATGATAGCTATAGAGCTTTGAGCAGATAGGCTCTTCCACTGTCAGACTAGACTTTAGCTATCAGCAGAAGAGTGTAGAAAGCTCATCCTACTTACGATACTATGGGCCTTTCGAGATCTAGAAAGCAAATATGGAAAGGTGCGTCTATTAGTCATCAGCTATACCTCTTTCAAATTCACGTCGATGCCACTCGTATTCCAACGCATCTGCTATGCAAGAGGAGGGATTTAGTGGGGTGATCAATACATTGATGGTCACAGTATAGGGTTATCACTATTTCTATATATTCCCCTAGAGGCCTACAGCAAGATTATGCTTAATTCTTATACTGGTGCTATGATCGTGACGAATCGTGAAGGAACAAATGAGGTGAGCAAGATATGTATCTCTCATAATCGCCAAACGCGTAGCGACTTCTATCGAGCGCGTGGTGACAGGGATTTTACCGGACACCAATGACGCGCTACTGTGGCGACAATGTACCGATGAACCCATGCAGAGGCGCTGAGCAGTTTCCAGACTTCACCTTTGAGGAAGGTTGATCTTCTAGAGGGCTCGGCTATGAGTGGAACCGGTGTGAAACCAGTACGCGTGAGCCACTTTGGCTGCCTGCTGTGATGCTTTGAAGGAGGATTTCAGATAATAATTTTCTAACAAATCTAGTTTGTTGAATTCATAAAATGCTGAAGCTGGATTGTGCCAGGAAGGAGTGGTGCGGAAACTGTGCAGGCTAGTCTGGTGTAACTGGGGAGGAATGAAGAAAGAGGAGACTTAGGGAAGAGACGACATTGGGGTGAATGAGAAAAACTTTTTGAGGTAAAACTTAATTAAGATTTCATATAAATATTATAATGTTTATTTGAATAATTTGAACGGATCAACAATTTATGATTCATTATATAAAGGAAGAAGGAGCAAAGGGGTACTTTAGGAGAACGACTAATGTGGGAACCCGACTTGCCTAAAGATAGAACGAAGGTGTGATTACCTAAACAAGATTTAAGAATTAGTAAGTTTCTATGTTGCACGATTCTTCTTGTTTATGTTTATGACACATTTATTCTAGTATTTTGTGTTTGTTAATATGCTGTATATGTTATGAAATTGCATGTAAGAGGTTAGATTTCTTTACGAACGATAGATTCATTTTAAGTTAGTATAGAAACAATGGATGTAAATATTCATAACTAGGATGGGCAAATTTTGCTTCAAATGCCAAGTCAGAAACAAGAGAATTGGAGCTGCCAAACTCAAGAGGGGACAAATAAAATTCGAGCAAGACACAGATGACGAACCCCTCACTAAGGCGCGACAAACCAAAGCACAACCCAGAAAGCGGGGGCAACGGCCCAGAAGATGCAATAGGGCAGGACCATTTAAAAGCCGGCCAACAACGTTTGTCGACTCAAAAGCATATGTCATTAGGGCTAAAACAGGATAACTATATAAAAGGTGTCGAAAGTATATATAATCAGATGTGGCCGATCAGAGACAGCGGCCAAGCAATGAAACGATAAGCTAACCTGAAAGAGGGTAACCTACCACTCTCTATTCGAGAAGTTGACGAGAATTTGACCTAACCCTGAAATGAGAGAACAGCTCCATTCTATTCAAGTTGGGAATTTAGAAACCCCAATCCTTGAATTGAAAAGTTTTTAAATGGTGCAAAAGCTCGTATGGGTCCCCCCTAGTGTATACCTGTGAACGCGGATCTTTAGCAAGTTGTCGGAAAAGGAGATGGGGGCTGTGAGTGGTAAATAGTGGAACCGGTCTTTGTGAACCAAGAAGATAACTTAAAGTCCCGACCCCCCGGTTATGTGCCACACCTCTAGTCTATGGGTCCCCCTTCTACACACAATAATTTAGAAGTCATTAATAGAGTAGTCAGCGAAATCTCCAATAACATGATAGGTCAAATTTTCCACTATTGTTAAGCATTTAATATACAGCTGAAGCATGTAATATTACTATTACATGGTACTATCAAATTATGAATATATAACTAATTATTATCCGCTACTTGATTAGCTGTTCAGTTTATGTCGTTGTATCACAAACGTTTTGTGAACTTTATCTACTAGTATGGCACAGAGTAGTATTATACATCTACTTACTCTCAGATCCCTTGTACTCCCAAATATTAAAAAGTCACATTTATTATCTAGAAGTAACATGAGAACTCGATGCACCCTCTTGTCATCGCCTAGTGTGCGGCACTAAGTGGGGCGCTACCGTTTCCCCACCCCTTACCTGCTAGTTACAAGCGCCAGCCTTGCTAATATCAATGATGCGTAGACGTTATTGTCTCTAGAGGGCACCCCAATGACAGGATTGCAAGGAGTAAAAAAAAAAAAAGAGGGGAAAAATTTCCAACAACATGACCAGATCATAATCAGATAACAAATAGAAAATGCACGGCCAACACTACACATGCCAGCCAGGGGCGGAAGAAGAAACCACTTCACACAATGTCTACAACATATTCGAAATAGTTCCATATGAGCCTTGAAAGGACACCCTACTCGTATTATTTTAATCTTCACCACATATAGTCTCCATCTTCATAACATAAGTATATAAGGGCTATAGCTTTGCTGACACCCATTTAACTTTTCAATCAAGGTGGGGTTTAGACTTCCCACTTTTAGACATGGAAGCTGTTCTCTCATTCGGGTTAGTCAAATTTCTGCACCTTCTCGAATTAGAGTGTAGGTTACCTTCATCACGAGTTCTTTCACCTTTCATGTGCGGGCCTATCCCCATATATACTTATTTCACCTTTTATATGTCATCCTTTTAGCCATATGACATATGCTTTATGACATAAGTTGCGCTTAGTCCTTTAAACTTTGTTGTCGGCTCTTGGGTGCTTTGGTTGCGCTTTGTTTTGCGCTTAGGTTGCTAGCTTGATTGTTGCACTTTCTTGTTTCGTATTGGTTGCACTTTTTGCTCATTCACTGAGTTTAATGAATATTTTACCGCTGTTTCGATGCTTACGAAATCATTAATATCGCTAAAAATAACCTTCTTGTACATAACAATTTTCATACATTATACAACATATTTCATTACAAATTAGACCAAAATAAACAGAGATACATGTGTCTAAACTATATCATAGGAAGAAGTGCAGATAAAAAAACATTTACTAATATCTTAAAATCTTGTTTAAGGTATCTCCACCGTCGGTCTCTAGGGAGCGGGCAATTCGTTCTCCTAAAAGTACCCTTTGCTCCTTCCTTTTATATATCTAAATTATTGTTGATCATTCAAAATTTACATTCAAATAACATTATAAATAATTTATATGAAAAATCTTATCAAGTTTTACGTCAAAAATAAAGTTTTTCTTCATTCACCCCATGTGACCTCTTTCTCCTAAGTCTCCTTCTTCCACTTTCCCTCTCCAGTTACACCAACTTAGCCGTTGCATCAGGTTTCTCACCACATCTGTCTGCTCACAACCCGTGTCAGCAATTTATTGTGAATTCCCACAACTAGATGTTTTAGAAATTTATATCTAATCCTACCGTTCAAGCATCTCACAGCAGCAGCTCAACAAGTTGGCTCCCGTGACTCAGCTTGAAGTGGCTTCGCGATGTCCAGGAGGACTGGGTGGGGAAAAATAAGCTAATGTCTCCAACATCAATAAATCACTTATAACAAACCCTGTCTAGATTCCACTAAACCTTCTCAGTTCATGTCAGCCCTATGTTATTCCTCAGCTTCATGCTGCAGTTTAGCTGGAATTGCTACAGTATGTGAGTAGAATGCTTACAGTATTGAGGTAATGGTCTTATTAAATATATTGCCTATACTATAGCCTTATCTACCTGTCATTTAACCTAAACTATAGACTAATACATATCAATTAAACAATTAATTTCATAATACTAAAAAAAAATATCTTGGATTCCACTAAGATGGCTATACTAATAAAATATTTGCTGCTACATTTAGCAGGAAGTTGATGGCGGCTTTAGTTTTACGAGTACTTATATTTGAGAGCTCATCTATTACACTTAAGTGGGGACGCAGGTATTTTGGGGTATGGAGAAAATCTTTTGTGAATGGGTATGAAGGGAGCCACTTAGGGTTTTAGTTTTTTGGCATTATGAACTAAGTGTATGCTCTTTCTAGTTTTCTCTCTAGTCTTTCTTGTGCTGTTCTAGGGTTGCTGTGGGAGATCTTGTCCTTCTCGAAGTTGTGTCAAACTGTATCTTGTTTTCCTCTTGGCTATCTAATGCCAAAGGTTCTTGACTTTTCATCTCAACCATCTTGTTGATTGTTTCTCATTTGGTTTTGGTGGAGAAATTTCTTCTTTTGGAGAGGAAATTAGGGCAAACCCTAATTTGTGAAACATAAGGCGTATCATATTTCTCTTTATTGTATTTACAGGGAACTCATCACGTTCAATGTCTTTTATCAGTGCTTTGCTCATAGACATGTTATATCTTTTGCATGTCCTTCGCCATTGCTTGCGAGATTTAATATGCCAGTTCATATGCTGACATTGAGTTCCTGATGTTGCTACATTTGACACCGGTCACATCGTACATGTTAATTAGCAAATTGTTGCATGCATTCACAAGCTGTTCAATATGTTCATTTGCGGGAGAGTTAATGTGTTTTCTTGACATTGAATTGTTGTAGATTATAGATCGAGGAGGAATCATTAAAATTTTGCATTCAATGATGCATGGTCATTTGCTTAGTTTAAATTAAATAAATGAAAGAGGCTAGGATTTGAGTCTTATGAGTGAAGGTGGGAAATGATGTGACTTTTTGTGCACATGCAAAGAGGATGATATTTATGCTGTATGTGGAGGTTAGAAGATCTTCCATGGCTTTTGGATCTATAGAAATGGAAATGGTGAATGATTGTAACTTTGAGGTTACAAATCAAGGAGTCCTTGAGCTTTATGTTTAGGAATGTGAACTTGATTTGCTTAATTTGGAAAAAATAAATGCAACGAATGATCAGAACATGGGGATATAATTTTGGACTTCAAATCACAAAAGCTTTTTGAATTGTTGTGTTCAAAAAGAGAGGTTCATTTGCTTATTTTGTGCTAAGCAAATGAAGGAGACTAATATTTGGGTCCTATATCTAAAGGCAAGGATTGTTCATTGATTTTGATTCAACAAATAGGGTAGAAGTTCCTACAAGACCCGAGAGCGCATGCAACAGAAGCATCATCCATGAGGGAGAAGGGCTCCTGAGTCAGAGTTCCTATCTTTTTTTTAGAACGATTTAAATTCATTTAAATAGGAGTAATCAGTTGTATGACTTTAGGCAATGTTTAAGATAAATTTTGGCATGATCAAATGGTAGATTGGACCTACTCAAAGCACCTGCATAATTTAGATTCCATTCACAACTCAACTTTCATAAAAAACTAGTCCACAAATTGTTACCATCAGGCGAACCTAAATCCAAATAAGGCAGCATGGCTTAACTTCAATCCAAACATAAAGTTCTAGGCAATAAGCGTAACTTTAGAAAATAACCAAGAACTCAACAAGCATTATCAGTCATTCCAGCCCAAGGGACATTATAAACGATGCGAAAGCCAAAGGAAAAAAAGAAACTAATGAATGAATTTCTCTAAAACCTGAGAACATTGTAATTTATTTCCTTCCTTAAAAAATACAATTCTTCTTCCTTGTTATTTTATGGTGATTTCCATGCCTCAATGAGACATGAACAACAATTGTCATCCAATAATCATCTTCCATTTTACTCGGAAAAAAAATAAAACATTTATTAACAACTCAAGGATTAGAGAAGAAAAAGTTCAGAAATGAAAAGAGGACTACCCTTGTGTAGATTCTATTATCTTTTAATGTTGTAAATTGAAATAAATGTATTAACACGGAGTGTAGCATCAAATCAGGAGTTATGTCAGCATAACATATTGGCATAGGGGAGGAGACATTTGACAAAATACCCTGTGAAGCATCGATTGCCAAGATATCCACCGTCCTAAAGCAGGATCAAACATCTCAACGTCAGAAAAGCTCTCAGATCCATCACCTCCACCAATAGCATAAATCTTTCCATTCAAAGTTGCACCGGCTAAACTTCCTTTTTTATGGATCATTGCAGGGCATGCGGTCCATTCATCATGTCTTCGGTCATAACGCTCAACTACACACCAATAGAAAAAGAACCAAAACTGAATATTGGTTTCTAACCATTAGTGGGCATAGAGCAATTATATGAATAATAAGAATACCTGTATCATACCATGAACTTCCATCACCACCACCCAAAGCATATATAACTCCATTTAGTGCAACAACAGAAGCATAAGAACGAGCATAGCTCATTGACTTCAAGGGTGTCAAGGTGTCTAGTGATGGTGAGAACGAATCTAATGATGATAGCCATGCAGTACCACTATAACCTCCAATAAGGTAAATTAAATCTTCTGAAGGCAAATACTGGTCAGCAACCTTGTCTAGACGATCAGGTAGCAAGGAAGTGCCTATATTTGATTCTATGGCATTAAAACGGGCACTCTGCAGCTGAATTATCTGTCCTAAGTTTCTATGTAGATTCCTCAGATGTTGAATCTCTGCCTTAGACTCCGCCTAATCCAAATAACATCATGAACAGTATGCAAAACTATCTATCAGTGTAACCAAAACATGGAGCAAAATCAGATTCAATTTTAATGAAATTAAACCGTTCGTGAAAAACCAGCCATAATGACTTTATAACTCCAATATTTTCTTTAGATTTACGCTAAAAATTAGAATTAAATTTGCAACATTAAATTCATTAGAGAATTTGAAGATGCAATCCTAAGAAAAAGCATTATTGCATATTGCTAAAAAGCTTAAGCTCATATTGGCCATTGGGTATAAAGCAAACACAAGGATTTTGAATATACCGATGTTTGGTTAGAAGAGAATGGCATTTCATTCATGACTTTAGAATTTACCCTTCATTTTTTGTGAATTTCAAACTTATCAAATTTGATCAATTTCCAAATACACTAGCTTGCCTTTCCTGACTTTCTAGCTCCATTATTTTCTTTAGAATTATGCTACAAATTAGAATTAAATTTGTTGCATTAAATTCATTAGATTTAGAGAATGCAATCATTAAAAAAAGCATTATTGCATATTGCTAAAAAGCTCAAGGGCATGTTTGGTTTAGGTTAGGTTTTGGGTGTAAACCAAATACAATTTTGAAAATTTGGATGTTTGTTTAGCAGAGAACCGCATTTCATTCATGAATTTGGAATTCACTCTTTAGTTCATTTTTAGTGAATTCCAAACTCACCAAATTTGATTGATTTCTGAATACACTAGCTCGCCTTCCCCATCGCTGCCACAAACAATCGGCAATCAAACAACATTTGTTGACCACCACTATCAATCATCATTGCCATCATTCACCACTGCCACCATCAAGCACTAGCACTACCTTCGACAACTGTCGACCACCACCATCTCCAGCATTGCCTACCGCCTCTAGTTGCCACTATAATGACTTTATAGCTCCATTATTTTCTTTAGACAGGCTAAAATCTAGAATTATATTTGCTGAAACAAATTCGTTAGAGAATTAGAGGATACAATCATAAGAAAAAGTATTATTGCATATTGCTAAAAAGCTAAAGGGCCTATTTGGTTCAAGTTGGGTTTTCAAAACAAGGATTTTGAAAATTCGGATATTTGGTTAGGAGAGAACCACATTTCATTCATGAATTTGGAATTTACTCTTTCGTTCATTTTTTGTGAATTCCAAACTCATCAAATTTTGGCTGATTTCCGAATACACTAGCATGCCTTCTCCACTTGTTTCCACCAACAATCGCTAATCGTTGGCCATTGCTGGCCACCGCTGCCGTCATTGCCAATCACCACAACCATCCTTCACCACCACCACAGTCAACTACTGCTCCTGCTTCCTACTATTGTTGTCCACCACCGTCTCTCACATCGCCTACCGCCTCTAACATCGCCTACCGCCTCCAATTGCCACTATCGATCCTTCTCAGACTCAAGCACTCTGGCCGACTGCTTTAAAAGTTAAGAGTACTCCAGTAAATTGTTCTAGAGTATTATAAATTTTGCCATGATAATCTCCAATATCATATCACACTAAAAAATAAATTTCCAACGAGAATATTATCAATAATAGGTAGATTTTGCATTCTAATGGCATCAAACACACGCATTTTGTATATAAAGAGAAAATTTTTTATATTTATAAAATTTTGACCTTCCAGAATGTCTTTCATGTTCTTAGTATTTAGAATCGTATAAAATAGATACCTTAATCAGCTAGTATGACAACCAATAAGATCAAATCATAATTAGGTTTAAAAGCTGGACAGTTTTATGAAAAAATAAAGGCATGTTATGGTTTAAAGATTGTGCAGGTAGAAAGAAAACCGAGTAAAATTCAAGCAATGTCTTCTTTCCCAATAAATAGACATGGTAACTCTTAATTTTTCTATACCATTGTCTTTAAATAAAAAAAAAAAAAACGTCAGTTGCAACTATAAAATTAAATCAATGATACACAACAAAAAAAATAGCCAATCAGGAGGTAGATAGCTAAAATTCATATGACACCTGCTGCTTCTCCAATGTTGCAGTGCGCTCCTTCAGTTCTCTGATGGCTTCCATCAACTAGATAGAGTAATCCGTAAGCAAAAAGAAGTCAAAATGGTTCTGAAAAATGGTAAAATCACTATTTTTTTTTTTTAATTAAGCTTCTTATTTCCGGTTACCTCAGTAGTTCCATGAGAAAGATTAGCAGAGGTTGAATCTGTTGCATGAGTAACCAAACTGCATGATTCATTTGAAACCTTGTCAATATCCCTATTAGCATTGCCATCAGAGCAATTCACTGCTACTTGATGCTCTTTCACGGAGAAGTCTAGAAGCGGAACATTTGTTTTGACATTATCATCATGGAGATTGCCTGCCTTGAGAAGTTCATTTTTCTCAGACGAATTACATGAATCATGCAAAAGTTGCTTGTTGCGGTTGTACAAATCTTCTGGGACACAGGCACTTGTGCTTTCATTTATGGCTCCTCTAGGTGAATTGACCTTGAAATTTGCTGAAAGTCTTTCCAATTTGAGCAATACATTCTTGTAATCTTCTATATCAACTGGTTGTTTATCCAAAATTTTAGGAGCTTCATTAAAGTTAGCATCAATGCTTGAACTTGTTCCATCTAATATATGGCCTTCAAACAAATCTTCCAAGTTTGATGCTAACTCTTTAGAATCAATATCTTCAGTAGCATTAGATGATGCGTTAGTTGGGTAACCATAATCACTGTCTCTACTGTCCAAAGAAAGTATTGAAAATTTATTTTCATTCCATGAACTGGTAGGTTTTACATCTTTCACTGATTTCCGTTTTGCAATTGGCAAAGGAGGAAAAGCATTAGGTTGGCTAAATGGATTTAAAACTGGCACTGGTTTGAATAGTGCAATTAAGCATCTAGTTTGTGAGTGGTCTAGCTCAAACCAAAAATGTTTTTCCGAGTAGTAGTTGTCTTCAATTATATGTTTAAATTCATTTTCAGCAAGGGGCTTACACTGTTCCCTTATCCGGATGCGGACCTAAATAAAACAATCATGCAAACACAAAAATGAGGTATCAATAGTAAATAAGTTGTTGATTAGAACAAAGCACTTAAATAGAAGAAATTCATGAAAATTTCCATCAGAAAGACCTGAGCAGGAAAAGCAGTCCTCTCCGCACCCCCTTCAGTCCATGCATATGCATCAATGTACATTTGGCCATGACTAACAGACTCATATATTCCATGAAGTTCGTGATCACTGTAGTTATAGTGAAATATTGGGAGACCTGGCCCAATATTTCTTACATAGGTGAAATGTGCAGCGGGTAAACCTGAAAAGGCAACATTACATCTTTTAAAGATTTTGATTTAATGAAATTAATGACACAAGTTCTAACATTAGTATTTGCTTCATGAGAGGAGAGGCAGAATTTGTAGGGATGAGCAAAATGCCACCATTAGAAATAATATTAATATAAATGAAAACAAATTCCCCAAAAAATTAAATGAAAAAAATGGCGAAAAGATAAATGCCTGAGAAAAAAAAATGAAACAACCAATTATTCATGGACTAAAGTTCTGGATTTGAAAGCAAATGAGACAACCAACCAAACAATTGCTTTGAGAGACACTCCTGCATAGTTTTGCGCTTGCATCCAAAAATAACTCCTCCTAAATCATTCTTGCGCAAGTTCCTAGCAGACATGTGGCCACTTTCAGAAGTTGGAATCCTGTTATCGCCATTTACAGTATGAGTTTTCCTTCCAGCACCCATTCTGCAATATTTGAAGAATAATTAGCAACCTGTTTTAAATGCACATAAGCATAGTTCGCCATCCTTCGAAGACAGAAGGAAAGTATATATAGGTATCATATCATAACAATAAGGTAGTAAAATTTACAGCAATGACAGCCTTCAAACAAAATCACATTCATTTTGGTAACGAAGAATTAGGAGCCACACATCGATTAAGAATAAGAAAATAAAAAATAGACTTAAGAATGATTTCAGCATGATAAAAAAAGGCCAAAATAAGCATCATAAGGTAATACTAATGTGGACTGATTATCACAGAAAAGTAGTAGACTAATGACAGCATGACTAGATATTGTGCAAAACAATAAATCAAGAAGGATTTATAAGCCAAACCTAAATACTTTGGACAAGTAATGACAATAATGAAGATCATAATGAGGATATTATCCAAGTGAAATTTCGATTTCAATTTCTATAGGCAAAAATGTTAGGAAGAAAGTCTTGTGAAGTAGAATGGAAGAATGTGAACCGGTCCCGCCTGGACCGGTTCAAGTCTATAGGTGGCGGAAAAACAGGGGGTGAGGGGCTTGATTGGGGCAGCATGAGGGTTGGGGCCCACATATTAATGGAGGTTTTGTTTAGGAGGAAAAATTCAAATTAAGGGCTGTTTAGGGATTAATGATTTATGCTTTGCTTTAAGTAATTGTCTTCTTTCCAGGGTTAGGGTTATCTTGAATTAAATCTGAAATATGAGATATCTGTTTGTGGTTTTGGGCTCTAGACTTCGGCTAGATATTGGAGAGCTGAATCTTCCTCTCGAATTGAAGATTCCTTGTATTGGGGTGTTTCTATTCATCTTTTATTTAATTTCAAGTGCTTGTCTTGGTTATTTCTCTACAGATTTTGCACAACCTGCTTGGTATTTGCTGAATTTCCATGAAATACAACACCGTTTCTCTGATTTGGCGGTTGTTTCTTATCAAATTGGTATCAGAACACGTTGATCTAAGGGGTACGAATGGAAAAATTATTACATCCGATGAAAATACTGAGCATACAGAGTGTACCAAGCGCGCTGTACCGAGTACGGTACTGAGCACTTTAGTGACGTGGCGTTTTGTTATTGGTTTCCGGATGCATTCGGTAACCTGACGGAATAATTACTCGTACCAATGGCCGGGAGGAAAGTGAAAGTTTTGGAGGGAGAATTAGGTCAACTAAAATCAGATTTTGAGGATTTTCAGAAAAGATGGATGAAAGGTTCGCCGTAGTGGAAGACATACTGAAGAACTTGCTTGAAGCCAAGCCAAATCCAACAACATTTGAAACGAAGGAAACCACCTGTGGCCATGGGAGAAATGGAAACCCTAACCTGTTTAGGAGAAGGGAAAATCTAGAAGTGGAGATTTTGGAGGGAACATAAAGCATGCCTCCGTTAAAACTGCTTTCTAGGGAGGAGATAAGTGTCGGGTACGAAGGAAGTGGTGCTTATTTTGCAAGAAGGGGGGAGGATTACGATCGCATGGTACTGATTTTGAAAAAAGAAGAGAGGATTTTGAAGAAGGATTTGTGTTTGAGCGCCGAAGGGAAGAGCATGACACTTGAGGAGCACCTCCTCTTCGAGGAATGGGTGGCTACGAAGGATTCAAGGGAAATAGGGGTGACTCGAGGGCACGAAAGCTGAAGATGCCCATCTTTGAGGGCAAAGACACACATGGGTGGATTTACAAAGTGGAGAGATATTTTGTCATCAACAGATTGACGGAGAAAGAGAAATTGACAGCAGTGGAACTGTGTCCGGAAGGAAAAACATTGGCTTGATATCAGTGGAGGGACATGAGGTGACCCATCCGTAGTTGGCAGGAGTTCAAGGATTGTTTACTAGAAAGTTTCCAAACTAGTCGAGGAGGGGACTTCTATGAGCAGTTCTTTGCCCTGATGCAGAAGGGAACCATGGCAGAATACTGTGATAGGTTTGAGTACCTAGCTAGCAGGCTACACTGGCTTTCCCAGATGGTGCTAGAGGGGAACTTTATGAAGGGGCTTAAACCAGAGATCAGATCAGTTGTTAGAGTGATGAGGCCGCATGACTTGGGGGAGGCCATGGAGCTGGCGCAGTTGGTCGAGGACCAAAAGCATCTGGAGAGAGAGGCCATAAGCAATAGTTTGGGGGGATCATATAGGATGACTACCACATTTTTAGCTCCTAAGGGACCAACATCGAGAAGTCTGCGTAAGTAAAGCCACAAAGGAGAAAATTGGAGGATTAGGGGGGTCCTTCAAGAAGCTCACTGAGGAGTTATAGGAGAAGCGGGCAAATGGGTTGTGCTTCAGATGTGATGAGAAGTACACGCCAGGACACAGGTGCAAGAACCGAACTCTTAAAGTTCTCACCGACTGTGATGACGAGGAAGCTATGGGGGGGAGGTTAGAGGGGCCCAAGGAAGAGGAAGAGAAGAAGCTACATCTGGACATGGCGGAAGTCTCTGAACTTAGTGGTGGGATTCACATCGAACCACACAATGAAAGTGAAGGGAGAGATAGCTGATAGAGAGGTCGTGGTGTTGATTGACAATGGGGTTACCCACAATTTCATCTTCAATTAGATCATATATCTGTTAGGGGTGAAATTAGTGGACACCGGGGGATATGGGGCGATGATGGGCACAGGGAATGTGGAGATGGGTAAAAGAGTATGTAGGAGAGTAGTGCTCACGATTTAGAGGATTCATGTGAGGGAAGAATTTCTTCCATTAGAGTTGGGGAGCATTAATGCTAACCTAGGGATGAAGTGGTTGTAGACCTTGGGAGATACCAAGGTCAATTGGAGAGCATTGAGGATGGAGCTAGTGGTGGGGGAAGAAGGATGGCGATCCAGGGCGATGTAGGGCAGTCCAGGGCAGAGGTATCTCTTAAATCCATAATCAGGACCATACAAGAGGTGGTAAAAGGATTTTTGGTGGAACTGCAACACTTGGAAGGGGTTAGAATGGGGAAGAGGGGGACATTCCTCTTGCAATACAAGCACTCATACAATAGTTCAGTGAGGTTTTTCATCCGCCTTAAGGCTTACCACCACCCAGAGAGCAGGAGCATGCAATTAATTTGGAGGGGGTCTCACCGATTAGCGTACGACCATATTATTATCTCCAAATTCAAAAGGATGAGATTGAGAAGCTAATCAGGAAGATGTTAGAGGCGGGGATCATCAGGTCGAGTCTAAGTCCTTTCTCTAGTCCAGTATTACTGGTCAAGAAGAAGGATGAGAGCTGGAGGTTTTGTGTGGACCACAAGGCATCGAATAAGGAGATGGGGCTGGATAAGTTCCCTATTTCGGTGATCTATGAGCAACTGAATGAGTTATATGGAGCAGTGGTATTTTCCAAGATGAACTTGAAGTCGGGATACCAACAAATCAGAATGAAAGAGGAGGGCATTTAGAAGATGGCTGTCGGGACATAAGAGGGGCACTGCGAGTTCTTAATGATGCCATTTGGGCTTTCAAACGCCCCTACTACTTTCCAGTCCCTACTGAACAGGGTGTTCCGATCATACCTCAGGAGGTTTGTCTTAGTTTTCTTTGATGACATGCTTGTGTATAGCAGGACTGAGGAGGAGCATCTGAAACATTTGAGGTTGGTCTTAGGAGTTCTACAGGAGTATTAGCTAAGGAAAAACCTGAAGAAGTGCAACTTCGTATAGATAAGTGTGGAGTATTTGGGGCACGTGATATCTCAAAGGGGGTGGCAGCCGATCAAGCCAAAATTGAAGCAATGTAGAAGTGTCCTCTACCTAAGAACCTGAGAGATTTGAGGGGCTTCCTGGGTTTGACTAGTTATTACCGAAGGTTTGTAAGGGGGTATAGCAACATAGCCTGGCCTTTGACAGAGCAGCTAAATAAGGATAACTTCAGGTGGGGAGAGGAAGCTACCCAGGCTTTCGAGAGACTGAAAAAGGCCATGAACACAATACCAGTTTGGCTCTACCAGATTTCCATTAGACCATTATAATGGAGACACATGCATTAGAATATGGGTTGGGGTAGTACTTATGCAAAATCATAGACCAATAGCTTACTTCAGTCAAGTGTTGATAGCTAAAGCTAGGCTGAAGTCAATATATGAGAGAGAATTGATGACCATAATGTTAACTATTCAGAAGTTGCGTCCATAGCTATTGGGTCAACATTTCATCCTCAAGACAAACCAGAGGAGCTTGAAATATCTGTTGGAGTAGAGAATGGTGACTGAGGAGCATCAAAGGTGGTTGTCCAAACAATTGAGATATGATTTTAAGATCTAATGCAGGCCATGGTTAGAGAATAAGGCAGCTGATGCCTTTTCCAGATGTGGGGGGAAGCACTAGGAGATGGTCATTCAATACCCCTGATGGTAGATTGGGGGGCTATCAAGGAAAAAAGTGTACGGGACGGGGAGCTAAGGAAGATTAGGAGGGGGATTTACTAAATGATAGGAACAACCACCCAGGTTACTCCCTCGAGAGAGAGAGGCTACTATACCAAAGGAGATTCATGATATCATGAACCTCCATTCATATTCCCCACCTACTGCAGGAGTTCCATGGGAGCGCGGTCGGGGCAATTCGGGGGGGTACATAAGGCATAAAAGATTGGCTGCTGAATTATATTGGAAAGGTATGCAAAAGGATGTGGAGGAGATGGTGGTCAGGTGTGCTAGAGAAATAAGTACATGGCTATGACTCTGCCGCGGGGAGGGGGGGAGGGGGGGAGGCGGTGTTACACAACCCTTAGCTCTGCCAGACAGTGTATGGAAGGAGGTATCCATTGACTTCATTGAAGGTCTACCCCGATCTAAGGGATTCATAGTGATTATGGTGGTGGTTGACATGCTGAGTAAATATGCGCATTTCATTCCCCTACAACACCTCTACACCATAATGATAGTAGCTGCATCATTCATCAGAGAGGTGATTAGATTGCACAGGATTTCAGAGTCGATAGTCTCTAACTGAGACATGGTATTTCTCAGTCAGTTTTGG